CATGATATGAAGGTTATAATGGATGGAATGAACAGTAGAGCAAAGCAGCTGCTAGTCAATGATGGTCTGAAGAAAACAAGTTTTGAAGATCTCGGAAATCCAACAAGAAATCCAACAGCAAACTATTTTTATGGCGATTCAAGGAAATTTAACATTGATGTTGATGCTGATTCTAATATCTATGGAACAATTATAGATTCAAATCATCAGCCACCGTCAGTAGATTTGTACATTTAGATTGCTCAGTGCATTAATGACCGGTACAAGAAAAACTTCGCATCAGTTGCCTCCATAAATGGAAAAATATTAACTGCAGAGCCTGGATGTATTCTGACTCCAACAGCATCGTGACTCATGACATATTTAAATTTGATCAGAATACAAGTAGGATATAAAATTTGTACCCTCATGGTACAAACAAGATATAAACATGATACAAGTGTTGCGTCCTGTCAAGATGATATTCAAGTCTGAAGGCATCTAGACTCTGCACGTAATATATTTTCCCGTGGCTGAGCTACATAGCTGTATTTGCACTACTTTATGCTCTTGTAAATGCAGTATGAACTACCTCTATGATCTGTTTGTATAATATATCTTATCTTTGGTGTCATGGATTGGCGTGATGGTCACACATGTATAAAAAAATAAAAAATTAAATAACTAAATAACCATGATCAGCTTGGTTTGCACGTATTTTATTGAACAATTATAATTAGTTATTGTTTTTTTTCTTTTTCATGCAGGAAAATAAAGAAAAGACTAGTTAAATTTCAATTATAATTAGCCGAAGACGAAAGAGATCTCATGCCGCTTTCAAACAAGAAAATTGTAATAAATTATGACCAGGAATAGATGTTTAGGTATCTTATAATCTATAATAAGAAAAAGTCTGCGTACTCTACATAGAAGTTTTTATTGGGAATTTATTTAAAAATCACACAATTATTATGTATTAAGTATATATTTCATATCTAATTTTAATATTTATTTATATAATATTTATAGTCTGTTATAATTATATCAAAAATATATAAGAGATTGTATGTTTCATTTTTGAAAAACAAATATTAACATTATGTGGTATGCGATGTTAAATTGATTGTTATATATTGCTAAAGCTTAAAATCTTAGATGTTTTATATATAAATGTATATGTAAATCATTCCTTTTGTTCTTCTTTTTCTTTGGTTTTCAAGTTTTTCATGGTAAATATATAGTAAATAAATTTACTTGAACTTAGAGTTATAATAAATTTTATGTAAAATCTAACTATTTAATGCAAGTAGCGGATCCAAGATCTTAGTTCAACTTAACTATTTATTGATCATTATTATGGTGACTCAAATCAATATACATTCATACATAAACATGAAATGATGATGTGCAAGATCAACGCAGTTGTACCAGACAAAACCAAAGTATTCCGAGCCATCAACATTACACAAGATGACAAGATACATTAATTTTTGTTATAATAACCATAAATCTTAAAAATATGTAATTTTTAAAAAGTATATAAAGGGTAAATTAAGCATATCAAATTAACTCACATGATTAAGATGAGTTTGTCACACCTCGTGTCAGAAAGGTAGTACACCTTGACAACGCAGGACATTTAACCCGTTTTGTATTCTCAAAAAAAGATTTACATGCAAGTAAAAAAGAAGATGAAAATTTTATTCATAATGAATAGTTCACTGATACAATTGAAAAGAAGACATAAAACTAACTAAAGCAAAACTCAAATGATAACAAGAAATGACTGTCTGGACTCAACAAAGGAAAATATAATAGCTATAATAAATACTAAGAAAAAAATATCAAGACAAGAAATTTAAAACCAAGAAGATTGCTACGGTGGAGATGTTCCTGCTAGTGACTGAATAGAATCTGTTATGCAAATATCAAAGAGTGAGTTTGAAAAAAAAATCAATAAATAATAAGAATTTTTTTATACAACATAAATGACAAGTGAAATGATGCTTGCAATATAAATAAAAAATAGGGACAACTACTACGTAGTTATAACATCTCAAGGGAGCAAGAGAGTGGTAAACATCAAATATGATTACTTATCATAAAAAAAACATAAAATCGTTTCCAATCCAATTTTTTATTATCCTGTTTCTCAATTATTATTTATGTAGTTGATTTTAACAGATGTCATAAAAGCCGAGAAGGTTAATACCAACCTGAGTAAACCCGATGATTTTTTGTTGACTCGTCACTAATATGTAGACATGCCAGCTTGGCTAGCCAC